TTTGCTCTTCAGTATTTGAAGCTATCCCTCTTTTTGGTGAAGCCTTTCACCGCATCTGTACCTACCCTAGTTTTGTATGCATAAATAAATAAATAAATCTTAAAAAAAAAAAAAAGACATGCATTGTACTTTTACCACTTAACAGTGTCTCCCAGAAATCATTTTTCATAGAATTTCAATGAAACCCAGAATCCATATCCTATAATATTCAAGATGCCTAGTATATAATTCAAAATCAGTGACCATGCCAAGAATCAAGAAATTATCAACATCTGGTGAGGAAAAAGGCAAGGTAGTCAAGAGATACCAAATTCTGACATGGTACAGATTTGAGATAACTAAGCAGAACCTTTAAAGCACTTATGAATGTTGGCGAGGCTGTGGAGAAAGAGAAACCTTCCTATATTGCTGGTGGGAATGTAAGCAAGTCTCGCCCCTAAGGAAAACAGGAGGACAGCTTCCCAGGAGACCACCAGTGGGCCTGCCATGTGACCCAGCAATCCCACTCCTAGGAATGGACCCAAAGAACACAAAAACACCAACTTGCAAGGAAACTTAACCTCCTGTGTTCATTTTGGAACTTTTTACAATAGCCAAAGTCAGAAACTGCCTAAATGCCCAAAAAGCAGATAATAGATTAAGAAAATAGTGTGTGTGTGTGTGCATATGTGCATATATATTTAAACATTAACAGATTAATGGATTAAGAAAATACAGTGTATATTTTTAAATATTAATATATTAAAAATAAAGCAGCTAGTATAATGGTGTTCCAAAAAGGAACAAGTGGCCACTTTTGAAAAGAATATAAAAGAGAAAGTTTTAGTATTAAAATAGAAGTTATTAAAGAAGGGGCGGATGGGGAGAACACAGAAGAACAGGAGGAGGAGGAGGGAGTACAGGGGCCAAACGGAAGCTTTAAAACTGAAAGAAAAAACAATCTAGAAAATTCTGGCTGGATTCAATAGCATGGGCAGGAAAGGGTAAGTGCACTGGGGGCAGAAATAAAAATTTTCTAAAACATTTTGTGAATTTTCCCACTAAAGTAGCCCCAACAAAGGAAAGTACCCCTTAAACACTTGGGGCTACAGCCTGAGACAGCCTAGTAGTCCCATGGGATTTCGTTGGCATCTCATTTAACTCAAAGAATTAACATGCTTTTTAAAATCTACTTCATAGAAGATAATATATTTTAATTGCTTTCTACTGGAAGGGGCAGGGTGCAGGCAGATTTTCCTAACTCCTTTAATAATCAAGATGCTGTGGCATTAATGGAGTCTATTTCTGGGAAATTAACGAAGTTGTCAAGAACAGGCATTGGGTCCAACCTCCAGTTTTTTTCCTTGTTAAATAAAACAACATTTCAAGAGTGTTAGTCTTGAAATAATATAAATAGGTAGATACAAATTCACCCATTGTTTTCAGGCTTTATGAGCTTTGTCTGAGGAAAATTTAACACCCAGATGGCTCTGAAAGGTGTGCAGAGCTGCCAGGCAGTTCTGGGTGGAGCGTTAACCCAGCTGCTTCCTCCAGAGGGGCAAGTCTCCGTGACAAAAACAGCCTGATCTAGTGCCCCTCACAGTCAAGATGTACATATATCGTGTAAAAAGAAAGTCCCCCCCCATACATACACTATCTCCTCTAATCATAATGAAATGGTGAAACAGGGTGAAATCTTCCATGCGCCCCTCGCCTCACTGCATCCCTCTCTGTACATGCAAGGCTGGGTTGGCTGGCTCGGCCCCTGGGAAGCAAGAGCAGAAATTGCTGGGTGAAAAGAGGGTAAAGCAGGACATTTATTCTCCCTGTGCCTTCTACCAAGTGGTCAAGTATCTCCCCTCCCCCAACCCCTCCCCGGCTGCTTTCAGGTCGGAGTGAGCAGGAAAGGCCCTGCTGGTTCCGGCCCTAGAGTCCTATGCCAGCCCTATGGGTCTTCCTAAGCCCCACCCACACCTGTCCAGCAGTCCCTTTGCTACGCCTTCTTCCTGTCACCCACGTGGAGTGTGCCATCTGCTTCCTGGGAAGACGGCTGTGTACTAGCATCCCTTTAAAGAAGCAAGCTCAGGAAGGCCCCTGGCTCGCCTGCGGACTCCAGCTGCAAATGTGTCGCGCTGACAGGCCCAGCCCTTCCTCACATCCCACTTTAGACAGTGGTGCGCCCTGCCACAACGTCTTGAATCATTTTGAACGTCTTTCTTTCAAACTATAGTCAGTTGTCTTTCACTAATTCTGAGTGCATGATGCCTTGAGTAAAGGAAGTTGTTTATTACAATGATGAGGACCTCTGAACATCACATCACCGTGCTATCTTCTGTCCTATGCTGTTCTTCAGATCGCCATGAGATCATCTCCAAAGAAATACTGGAGCTGGACCCATGGGAAAACCAGTGGAATGTTGTCGCCGTCAATGTCCTCATGCATGACAGCTATGATGTCTGCCTGGTGGCCAGGATGAATCCCCGAGACCTTATCCCCCCACCCTCAGATCTGGTGGGAGAAGACAATGAGCACTGAGGTCAGCATTGCGGTAGGGGCTCGGCTGTTGTCTGCGAAGGGGGTGTTAGGGGTGGTGAGGGCCCAGGAGCAGCCATGAGATGCACCACTCCCGCCTCTGGACCCGCGCGCTGCTTGTATCATGGGCCGTGTGCAAAGCCTCATGTACTGGGCACTGCATAGTACTGGAGACTGCAGGGTCCTCCTTCTGGTATCTCCAGTCGGCCAGCACAGACAGGACACCACCAGGCTGAACGTGACAATGCACAGAGGAGCAGGGGGTGACGCCGCAAAAGTACAGGGAACGCAGGAGCCCCACACTGCTGGGGACTGAGGGCAGCGTTGCCAAGGAGCAGTCCTTCTGGCCTGCCTCGAAGGATGGGGAAGAAACGGCACCATGGTGTCATTGCTGCTGAGGTCACAGAAACAGCTGGCCAGAGGAGGACCAGATTGCCTGGGCGACAGGCTTTGCTCCAAAGGCTGGAGTTAGTAGCTTGTAGCTAAACGATCAGCACCTGGAAGACTGGGGTTCGGCCCTCAGAACAGGGGGACCAGGGGAATAGTGACGTTGAGGGGAGACTTCTCTTCGCACTCTGCTCTGGCTTCAGTCTCACAAGGCCACTGCAGCGACGGTGCTGACAGGGCTGGCAGTGGACTGGAGCCCAGGCACTGGAGCCTGACCACAGTGAGCCGAGGACCGGGCGACGGCGACGGCGACGGCGACAGACAGGCAGGCTCCACGGCCCTCGTCTGGGGCTGGTCCACGGTGCCCTGGAGGGACTTAGCAGCCTGCCCTGTCAGCTCTCAGACACAGCCTTCTGCAGGTTGGCCCTTTCTGAAAACAACTCACCGAGACCACCCCGCCCAGAGACAGGCCAGCTCTGGAGGGGAGAGTGCAGCTCTTGGCTGCCAGCGGCCTCTTGGACGTCTTTACCGTATCTTCCCCAGGGCTCGGGGTAAGGAAGGAGACACTTGCTTTAGCATGAACATTGGGGAGCACCAGAAAATAGTCACTCCCAACATATATTTGGGGGACAACACTTAAAAAACGCATAGGACATCCAGCTAGCTTACTCACCACTGACACTTGGGGAGGGCGGTGGATTCAAAGAATGCGTTTTGGTAGCTGTGGGTCAGAAATGTCCACAGCGTGTCAACAGGCTATTTAAGCAGGGCAGTCAGTAGTCCCCTAGCGTTTCCTCGGAGGAGGACAGCCCTAGACTGTGAGCGCTCCTCTGGGGTGCAGGGCGCTGTGACAGTGGCCGCGGCAGGAGAAGCAGTCCTGGAGGCTGGAGCTGACTGGGCACCTGCCGCTATGAAGAGGGGCCCCTTAGGTCATGGCAGTGTCTCCCGGGGTGCCGGACGCTGGGAGGCAGGTGCCACGTCTGGTCCTGTGTCACTGAACCCCAAACGCTGATTCTACACGTGGCACCTGGATGGATCTTGCGGTGCCCACTATGGGTGATGTTTCTCCTTCTGAGGGCTTGTTCTCTGTGCGTGTCTGGGAATATGAATGAAAACAAGCTAAGTCTTCTCCCTGGTGGAGGCCATACTCTGTGGCAGAACAGTTTTTCCAAGTGGGCGTGGGGGCTGCTGGCAGCCTGGGTGAGGACACCCTTTCAGGTGTCTGCTTCCCCCGCTTTCTCTTAACAGCACCACTGCGCCTGCTTCTCTGCATGAACACAGAGGAAGCTGCCTCGTCTCCCTGCACCCAGGGGCCTCGCTGTGAGTCGTGGTGCCAGAGGCGCTCGGTCTACAACCCAGGCTCTAGTCCCAGCACCACTGCTCGGCCAGCCATGTGACCGGGACCACATGACTTTTCTGAAGCCACCTAAGCAGAAGGGGAAGGAAAGTACATTGTAGGGTTGGCGTGAGGCTTGAGCACAAACACGCTGAGCAAAGTGCCTGCTAGATGCGAGAACAACAAGCACTCCTGCTGCACTGCCATCCGGATCACTGCAGCCCGCCCTTCCCACACCAGTACCTGACAACTTCACTGGGCACTTAATTTACCAGACCCAGCCACTTGGCCCCTCCATGGGCGCTGACAGACAAGTAAGGGTTTGCTTCAGTGTTTGTTTCAAGCCCTGGTGCTCATCTGATTTTCCTACTTGTAATTAAGAACAAGCCGCCCTGCCCCGTGCCCCTGTTGTTAGAGGATCGTTCGAGATTCGCACTGAAATACCTCCCTGGACTCCTGTCTTCTCTTAGCCTCAGTCTCCCTGGCAGACTCTCATAAAAGTCGACTGTTTGCGAGTTCTTATCTCTGGGAGGCCGGATTGCTTGACCCCCAGCGAGGGGACACCAGAGGGAAGTGATTTGGATGCCGAGGCTGAGAGAAGCCTGCAGCTGTCAGCCACAGCCCCGCTCAGCTTTGTGTTCATCAAGAAGGCATCATTGTTCTCACTGATTGACTTTGTAATGAGCAGATGTTCATTATAAATTTGAACTTATAAAGTAAAATCTTTATAAGGAAGGACAACTTTTTGCTTTTATTTTGCTTTTCATATCACCAGTCAGTGTAAATTTCATATGAAGAAGGGGTTCGGGGAATGCTGAGCAGCACCAGCTTTGGACTCCACACCCCAGAGGTAGCCCAGGGTACCCCTCCAGCCTCTGATGTTACCCACCTTCTTAGTGTATGTTGACAGGACAGTTGTCAAATGATACTGCCTTGTTAATTTGATCTGCATTTCTCTCATTAATAATGAGCTGGGTTGGGCCCTCCCTGGTGGTGCAACAGGTTAAAGCATGGCACTAAGAAGCTGCAGCCACTTTAGCATGAGTTCAATCCCCACCCCGGAGGTGACCCACATGGCTCAGCAGACCTCTCCTGTCTCACCCATTGCTCTCTCAGCAGTGTACTTTATCAGTCGGCCTGTTCTGCTCCCCACTGTGTCTCTGTTGAATCCTCTCACTGCCCCTGAACCTCTGGCCTGTACCCCAGTTCTGTATCACAAATAAATCTTTTGAAATAATAATAATAATGAGCTGGGTTGAGCTACCTTTGAAAAGTATGAGTGGGCCCTCCCTGGTGGTGCAACAGGTTAGGATGCAGCACTGCAAGCTGGCAGCAGCTGCTTCAGTGCAAGTTCGACTCCCAGCCCTGGAGGTGACCAGATGGCGCGGCAGACCTCTCCTGACCCACCCACTGCTCCCCTCAGCAGTGTACTTCCTCAGTCGGCCTGTTCTGCTCCCCACTCTGTCTCTGGTGAATCCTCTCACCAGCCCTGCACCTCTGACCTGTACCCCAGTTCTGTACACATAAATAAATAAATCTTAAAAAAAAAAGAAAGAAAAGTATGAGCGTCCACAGTAGATAAGCTACATAAATTTCATGTGCCACTTGGCAGGCTACGCTAGAGCTGTCACAAAGGATACGTGCCCACCGAGGGGCTGTGGAGAAGTCAAGGTACAGACCCAGATGCGCCTCCTGACGTGGGTACACTGACTGCGCCTGAGCAGACGTCAGCACTCAGTGCTCATCTCTGCCGGAGCTGCTTTAGGGGGCGTTTTGCACTTATTCCACCTAAGTGGTTTCCAATCGCTCCGTGCACCACTTTGTAATCAGAAAAAGAAATGAAGATACAAGCGCACGTATTCTCCGATTACCACCCTCCCATAGAGAAAAAAAAGAACAACTTTCTGCTTCACCAACAGACCCACCCCAGCACCACCTCCTGCCCTTTCTGCCCCATTCAAGAAACCCGCACACAGCCAGGGGCTGCAGCTCCGGGTCCCCACTGTGTGCAGCCTGCACTGGGGCAGGGCAGAGCAAGGCAGCACCAGCTGAGCCCCGAGGGGCATCTTTGGGGCCACCAGTTCCCATCCCAGCAGGTCAGGGAACTGACCCAGCAATCCTTAGAGCTGACCTTCTCACATCGCAGGTCAACCTGGCAGCCATCAGAAAGGGCAGCCCAGGTCCAAGGGGCAGGCGGAGGGCAAGGTCACACCAGGAGTTGGTGGAGAATAAGTACAAACCCACCCCGCAGGCCCCTGCCCAGCGGTCTCTCCTTTGGCCTCCTCATTCCTCCTCTGAGACTGGCTAATAGTCCTCCTTGGGATGCAGGCACACCATGGGGATGGCCCAACACCTTGGAAACACCAGCTCGCATTCCACCATCCTGTTATACTACCAGGCTAAGGTCCCACCATCTGTGGTTCCGCCATCCATTTGCACCACCATCTTGTGACTGCACCATCTGTGACTCCACCTTGTGACCCAACCCTCCTTTAAAGACAATGCAGCAGCTCTAGCTGTGTCCCGTGACGATGACATTATGGGATCTGTCATCCCTGGATCGCCTTGGTCTGGGGTGGAGGTGGGATCCATAAACCTATTTGTGGAGTTTGTTCAGGACGTCCTTGCTTCCAGCAAGCCCAGCTCCAGATGCCCCTCACTTAACAGGCAGGCCCTCAGTCCTTTTAGCCCCAAGAGAACTGCCCCATCTATAAACCAGAGATACAGTGGCCTGTTCCATTACACTTGGGAGTGAGGTGCATTTATACAGGTAAAACCCACAGCAAGGTTAGGGGCCTGCCTGACCATTATTCTCCCTCTCCTGGGAAGATCTGTCTCTGGCACAATGGCAGGTGGAAAGGGCAGAGAACTAAGTATGTGACCCGGTTCCATCTGTGGGATACGACAGGCCACGCACACACACACCAGGTGTGGTCATATATACACCTCTCCACGTCCGTGTATGCATGTATGGAATCCTTACGAGTCCGTGCACATGTGTGTAGTTGTGTGTAACAGGTATGAATACAAACTGTGTGTGTATGGATGTGCATATCTGGATCGTGGGTGTGTCTATCTGGTATGTCTATGGGTGTGTGTGCATGGTGTATATATGTGTGCATTGTAAGGGGAATACAAGTATGGAAGGGGAAAAAATGGAATCTCAGGTAAAAGAAAAAAGGAAAGGAAACTCTCCTCCACTCAGCATTTCCTTTAGAAAAGGTGTGACTAGCTGCTGTCTTGTGGAGACGTATGTAAATCTTCTTTAAATGAGCCTCTTGCCATTTTGCATCCCAGGGTTGACTTTCTTCTAAGGGTGCCCTCTCTAAAATGAAAGCATCCGGAAGGGTGCAGTCTGTCGCCCCCTTTCTCAGAGGTTTAAATCTAGGCCCCAAATGCAACTTCCTGCTCAGCAAAAGACGGGAGTTCACCTTCCCTCTGGACAGATAAAGGCCCACAGAGGTGCGTGTGCAGGCAGGGCGTGCAGAGCCCGGGAAGGGCGAGCTTCTTGCCCTACGCATACTGCACCGACTCACGCTTGCTCTGCAGCCGAACTCTGTTTCTCTGTTGTCTCCATGGAGAGGTTTTTCTGGGCGGTGGGAGATTTGCTTTTAATTATTTCCCAGCCACATGTGTGTGTTTATATGTGACAGTGTGTAAGAGTCTGTGTGTATGTTCGTATGAGTGCATGCATGTGGTGTGTGTGTGTGTGTGGTTAGGGGCACGAAGCATGTAATTTTTTTATTATCAAAGATTTATTTATGCATACAGCACTGGGGTGCAGGGGCGGTGAGAGGCTTCACCACAGACAGAGTGGGGAGCAGAACGGGCAGATGGGCAAAGTACACTGCTGAGGGGAGCAGCAGGCGAGACAGGAGGTTCGCCACTCCATGTGGATCACCTTCAGGGCCGGGGATTGAACTCACACTGAGGCTGCCGTGGCC